TGACCTGCAGGTGGACACGGCAGCAGGAGCACCCGAGCGCATCATGCACACAAGCTGTCCATGTTGTTGTTCCTCATTAGTGAAGCTGCAGACTGTGAAGGCTGATTCTAAGGAAGACTTTCATACTGTTCAGACAGGAAATAATCTTGTTCCTGAGTCAGTTTATTAAGTTTATTATCAGTTTAATTACACTGAGCTAGACCTGAACATGTTGATGTGCTGACTCGCAACAAGGATTATTTACCTTTAAAAAACAGTTTTATATGGTTTAAACAAAGAACAGAATATACAAAACCTACAAACACAGATACAATCATTACAACAAATACCATGTGATAAGAAAAGCTGTAAAATATAAGTGTTAATATGTTAGTGAGATTCAGATATTTGTACATAATTACATTTAATTCAATATTTGCTGGTGATTCCTGAGTCAGTATTATGAACATTAAGTGACATTAAAATTATAGCAGCTGAAATGAAGATTTCTAAGACATTCAATAGAAGATTCACAACAAATTCAACAAATCAAATCAAATACCTTTATTGTCATTGTAGCTGTGGTTACAACGACAATGGCTGCACTCCCTTGGTGCCAGTACATTAGACAACAGCAGACTGATTAGCAGATTCAACAGTAAATGAAACAGTAGATGCAGAGCTGTGAGTGTGTCCCAGGCAGGGCTGATCCGTACCAGCCAGGACGAGTTTTTCATCGAGCCGTGGGATCGATTGACTACAGGAGGAGGAGGAGAGGAGGAAGGAGGGAGACAACATGTCATTTATCGCTCCTCAGCCGTGATCAGGGCCCAGCCGGCTGTCAATCAAACTGACACTGTCAATCCCGGGTCTGAGGACTTTGTCCCAGGTGAGATAAACACACACACACACACAGAGAAGTGAGTCCACCGTATGACTGTTGCTTTGATTTATAAAATGTGTCTGTTTGTTAAAAGCAGAGTGTGTTAGTGGTGTCTCTGCCACAGAGGACAAGCCATGTGCTGAACAAACACTCGCAGCCTATTGGTTGTCAAAGTCGCTGCTGTTTTGTTTCTGCAGCAGGAAAGAATCAAAGTGAAAACAGTGAGATTGTTCCAGGAAACTTGGCAGAGGCGGCTCACACACACACACACACACTGAGCCAGCTGCGACGTGGCAGTCCGGGTTTCCCAGACTCGCATTTTTTGGAGGTTTGGGCTCGGGGTTGGTGGACAGTTCAGCTCCTGACTCCTGAAACAGCAGCAGCCAATGAGGAGGCAGTTTCATTTCCCCTCACTTCAAACAGAGTCTCCGTCAGCACAGCAGGGGCTCACATCACTGTTGTCATTTTCATAACAGCACAAACAAACACATGTTTAGAAACTCTACAGTAGGTGATGGACTGTAAGAGACTGTTCCACCGGCTGTTGGCCTTCTGTACATGAAGTGAGGACAGGAAGCGACGATGAATGTCTAAACAACAATCCAAAGAGATGACAAACATTCTCTTGTGCTGATTGGCTAAGCAGTTCTTCAGTGCACACTGGAAAAAGGGTGTTTAAAATGTTTATTTTCAGATAAGGTCTCTCTGAACACATCACGGGTGTTATCATGTTAATTCAGTTATTGTGAAACATCAATTCAGTCTCACAGCTGTCACTACAGAGTAAACTATGAACTAGGTTCTGGTATTGAACACACAACTCAAATTAATAGGCTTTTACTAAAAGGATGCAGAGACAATTTTTGTCAAATGGAAACTTGAATTAAAATGATTTGACATTTTTATTAATATAAATCTGTGCCAATAATTTTAATTCTTTAAAACCAAAGTATCATAAAGACTCCATCAACAGGAACCAGTATTTGAGTACTGTTAGAAACATAGACGTGCTGCGCAGAGGCTATTTTTAAGTCAAGTTTTTGAAGTGTCTCAGCTGATGTTCGTGTTAAACTCAACAGCAGCGGAATGTTTGCACTCAGGTTGACTGGACCACAGACCATTGGCCCCTTGTTTAATCTCCATAAAACAAGCTGTCGTGTTTCACGACTCCCTCTGTTCTGTTCTGTACAACAGTAAACACTTCCTCCTGCAGACACAACAACACCCGGAGTCAGGTAGTCGTCTTCAGGCAAAGGCTGAGTAAACTCTGTCGTAGTCGCCGTGTCACAGGCTACGAGGGTTCTGATTGGTGGAAAGAATCCACAAAACAATTTAATACAAGTCAGTGTTTGGATACAACAGAATAACAAAACTGTTGTGGAAATATTTAAACTGAAATATGAAAGTCATTAAGGTCACCTGAGAGTCATTTGAGTCACATGAGAGTAGAGATCATTCAGAAAACTAACAGTAAAACTACAAACAACAATGCTAATGCTGTAACACTGAAAAAACAAAACAAGCAGCATGAAAATGTTTAAAATGACTTCCACGATTTCCGAGGTCAATCTTTCGTTTGTCTGCAGGTCCTCTTTTAGGTTCTTTGAACTTGAACCAGAATATGTTCTGGTCAGGATCGGGCTCAGCTCGACGCCGGCGCTACATCGAGGAGGCTGAACTGTTTTATATCGAGGTGAATGAACTGTTTAACACTGAGGTTATTGAACTGTTGCAGGTGAGCAAACTGTTAACCTCTCTTTCTGCTATTTTTTTTGCTCCTCCAGGTTTTGTTGGCGGTGGATTATTCAGTTCTTCTTTTCCATGGCCGAGACCACATTCAGAAATACCTTCTGACCCTGATGAACATAGTAAGCGATGACATGAACACAGATCTTACATTCAGTGGTAAATTTAGCTGGTGGTACCTCAGTGACACTGAGTAGTGGTGCGTTTGTTGTGCCTGTTGGTGGACTGCAGCTGAAAGGTACAATCAGAGCCAAGCTAGTCACCACCCAGCCCACGATGGTCAAACTCCCTTGGCCTCTCAAGTACCCCTTCAAGAATAAAGAGCTGATTGACTGGTCAGTCTACAGGACAGAGACTAGTCCACCTTTATCTTTGTAAAATGGGAACCTCCACTTGCCTCCATGTGACAATAATTAACCTGTAAACCAAGGCAGCCCAGAACTTTCAACATTTTAAATGTGGCTCTCATTCATTCTTGGCTCCAGTTCTCTGATGGTGGAAGATCTCAGACCTCAGGCTTCCCCACAGACTTCCAGCTATGTGACACTCCTTCCCAGCTAGGAACAGCTTTTCAGACTCATCCCTTAGCTGAGATTTTCCTTCTTCTGCCAGAGAAGCTGCTGGATTTCTGGCCAACCCTTACCTGTCTGATTCAGGAGTCTTGGTCACTTTTGGCCCATTGTATTGCTTCTATAAAAATTGCACCAAGACAGTGGGTGGGCTGAGCTTTATAAAGAAAAACTGAGCCCATGGGCTGAGCTTGATCTTCTGACCACTACAGAGGCAGAGTGACTGTAACTTAGAGCCAGAAGCGCTTATCAATATGGGAACAAAGCTAGTTACCTGTTAGCACATCAGTTAAAAAGTTATACAGTGCTACAACTGATTTCAGAAATTAAGGATAGCAATGGCACAATTATTACAGATCCCTTTGAAAATAACAAAAGCTTTATGGATAATTATATAAAGATATATGCAGCTGATTTTATAGTGGATGAGGAATCTGAGACTTTTGGAGTCAGACTCCCACCTGTAAATGTGATGTTAACCAGCCCAACATTATGTCATTCTCATCATTACTTACTCGTAGAAGGATATTGCTTCAGTGGAAATCATCATCACCTCCTTCACCAAAATCCTAGTTGCGTGTCCTTCCTGAAGCTGGAGGATATAACATTTGTTTAGGAGATTTTATATAGTGTACACCTCTCATTTCTCTGTATGCGGATCATCCTGGGCCTTTTTTAATAGCTAGTTTGGTTATCCATTGATATGAACATATTTATTTTATCTCATGTCAGTATTATGTGCAGTTGTTAAGGGTTTTTTTTTTTCAGTGATGATGTAAAGGAACGATGTGGTGTTACAAACACTAGGAGAATTGTTGAGTTGGTAATAATGGATTATAATGGGAGATAAATGCAAAAAGTAGACATGATTTACTGTAAAAATGATTGCTGGAGAATGTTTCTAAATTGTCTTTTAGCGTCTGCTGTAGGTTATGCCTTCTCTGAGGCTTCAAACAGCGGTCCAAAGCAAATAATCTTGCATCCCTGTGTGAACCTCTGACCTAATTGGTTCAGAAAACTGCATAACATTCAGAGTCCTTTGCAGCAAAATAACACATTCTGTGAGGAAGATGAGCCTCTCCAGCTTTGTTGGCCACCACCTGAGAAAAGGTGGAACCAGGAAACTCCTCCACCACCATTAGATTTATTCTGGTTCTGAGAAGAAGGCTGGGATTCAGATGTGAACTTCTCACATTTTTAAAAAATAAGGTTAGATTTGATGTTGTAGATTAACATGTGTCTCTGTCTGCTGCAGGTTAATGAGATCTATCAGCACCATTCTCTGGGTGCCAACATCAACATTGTCCTGGTCAGAATCATCATGTTGTCTCCAGCAAAGGTACTGAACTGTGTTGATGCTACTGAAGGTTTATGGTCAGGGAACTTGTCTGGAAATGAACTAAGATGTCCTCTATAGGATGAGTAAATAACACAAAACAGTAAAAACCCACAGTGTCCCTCCATCAGTCCCAGGAGCTGATTGCTGTGGGGAACCCACAGAAGAGTTTGGAGAATGTTTGTGGCTGGTCCTATCTTCAGCACAGGGAGCAGAGTCACGCTGAGCAGCACGACCACACCATATACCTGACCAGGCAGGAGTTTGGCCCCTCCGGCATGCAGGGTACTACTTCTAATACTGCCACTAACACCACTTCTGCTGCTAATTGCCTTGACCCTGATGACTACTGACCTTTGACCTCTCCCTCTGCAGGTTACGCTCCAGTAACAGGAATGTGCCAATTACATCGGAGCTGTGTCCTTGTCTTTGAGGATGGGTTTTCTTCAGCTTTTGTAGCTGCACACGAAACAGGACACGTGTAAGATACACAAATACACAAACTTCAACTAAATCCAAATGTCTTGGTAGTACTAGTAAAAAGAAACAAATTCACATATTTATAAAAAATGTGTCTTAAAAAAACAACAGTATCAAATTGACTCCCAGATGTACACATCATATGATAACAGACTTACCCTTATCGTTACTATAACGTATTGAAATTTTCCAAGGTTCAGAACTTTATTATCATTTCAGTGTGTAGTTATGGATACCAGTGTGCTCCTCCTTGCTTTCATTACCTGTCTGTCTGCCTGCAGGTTAGGCATGGAGCACGACAGTGAGGTGAATGACTGCGATGACGACGGCAGCATCATGTCTCCACGGGTTCAGGCCACATTCCGCCATTACCACTGGTCTCGGTGCAGCTGGGGGGAGCTGCACGAATACCTGCAGTGCGCACTACAGATGATACTACAACAATAGTGCAATCAGCGGAGACACTGAACTCTGTCTGGCAGTAATCATTTTTGCTCTGATACCACCAGGCTTGACCTGCGCTCACTGTTTGTCTGTCTGTCTCTGTAGAACATACGACTGTCTCCGTGATGACCCATTCAACCACGAGTGGCCAGCTCAGCCTCAGCTGCCGGGGTTTCAGTACTCAATGGATCAACAGTGTCGTTTCGACTTTGGAAGTGGATACAGTGTCTGTACTGCAGTACGTCTGTCTGTAGTGTTGGAGACAGCAGACACTCCTGAAGCTCCCTCCTTTGCTTGGCTCGATTTGTAGATTTTTAAACACATAATTAAAGAAAATAGTTAATAGTTATGTTCTTCGCCATACTTCCTCTTAACATTACTTTAAAAATACACTACAAGGAAAAGTAGTATTTTAGGTCATAAAATTAAAATCATAGTGACAGAACTAGCAAATACTCAAAAAATAATGACTGAGCTGTGAAGTCACGTGTGTCTAGTCCTAAACCTTATTTTGTTAAAACGAGAAAACTCTGCCAGCGCATTTAGAATCCTGAACTGGAATCAACCTGTTTGTAGGAGAAATTAAACTTTTTAAAAGATTGTTCTAGAAATCAGTAGGTCCATGTACACATATGTTATTAATATTTTACAGCCAGAAGTTTGTTTTGAAAGGCGAGATAAGGCTGCAGAATGAACGGGATGCTGTTGGTTGAAAAGGAAACCACCTCCCTGTAGACACTGTTATGTTTCAAGGACAAAAAATAAAATGGCAACCAGAAGGCATCTGTTTAGGATGAAAAATGTTCTAAAGCAGTCAAATATTTGAGTGATGACGCTACAGATGTGACCTGCTGCAGGTTCAAAGCCAACACAGCATCTGTGCAGGATATTAACTGAAAAATTACATCAGAGAAATGTTTCTGTGGTGGACGAGTTACACGAACACACATCAAATTAATCAGCGGCATTGAATTCAAGTCTGCACACTGTTCAGGGTGGTTCCGGCATTTTTACATGATGACTCTTTAAACTTGTCTGAATTTGCCCTCGCAGCTTTGTGATCTCGACTGATGGCTGAAATTTGTTCTGACTGTTTTCCCCCTGTGGTTCAGATTTATCACGTCAGGCTCTGCAGTTTATTACAACAGATCTCCACACACTGGTTTTTGGTTGTTTTCTTTTCCTGTTGTGAGCACGAGCCTTTCTCCCTGTGTGATTATAACTTACCGCTGTATATGTGTGTGTCTCTAGTATTCGAGCCATGACCCCTGTAAACAGCTGTGGTGCAGCAGCTATGACCACCCATTCTTCTGTAAGACCAAGAAAGGCCCACCGCTCGACGGGACGAAGTGTGGACCAGGAAAGGTGAGGACACAGTTGACTTTTTGTGGGTTAAAGGTGATGACAGGAAATGTGATCTTTCCCAGACGGGTTTTCACAATCAGACCTCAGCAGTTTGACTTCATGTGAAACGTCTCAGCTTTCTCAACAGAGTTTGTTGTTTTCTTCTCAAACTAAAGTAAGAGGACCTCCACACAGAAGACATGCTGTGGGCGTCTGGTTTGACTCAGTGTGATCTAATCTGTAAAACACACCATGACTGTGTCCACACTGAAGAGCCAAGGTCTGGCTCAGTCCAGCACCACCACATTGCTGGTTTAACTTGACCCAAATCAGTGTCACTGTTCATGTCTAAAATTGATGATTAGTTGGACTCTTTTTAAACTCACATCTGACTGTTGTTACCTTTTATTTACAACATTATTTGTACATCAAACAATGAATCTGTGACAGTTTTAGGGTCAAACTCCAACTTCTTGTGTCAAATACTGTGTGAAAATAATCATATTTCAGTTTAATAGTCCAGCTGTGGGTTAAACAGCCCACTGGTGCTGATAAATGTAAGCCAGTAGTGTGTCTGTTCATTTTGACCTGTTGTGTATGTAGATACATGTTATCAACGAAGATGACTCACCACAAACTAATAACCATAAACCAAATACATAGTAAATTATAATGCCTTATGTTGTGTTTCCTGATAATATTGCCTAAAGGGAGCATGTATAAAGTGAAGAGAATTGGACCTAACACAGAGCCCTGTGCAATGCCAAGACTAACAGCATGGAAGTTTCATCATTAACATGAAAAAATTGTAACTTATCTGATAAATAAGTTTTGACCCAACTATCCATACAGTTGTGCAGATGGATCAACTTTCTCATCAACCATAGTCTGTGCAGGGACTGGAACTACTTCTTGTTGACTGGCCTAGCCTAGCTTAGCATAAAGACCTGGAAACATGCTATCCTGGTCCTGTGCAAATGCCAAAGTGCAGTGACCGGGAGTGTTTTATGTTTAGCTTGGCTAAACCCATCTTGACTCCGGCAGTATAATGATCTACCTTGTGTCCATGATAACTGTTTCTTGTCACAGCATTGTTTTAAGGGTTACTGTATAAAGTTGACCCCTGAACACCTGCGACAAGATGGTAACTGGGGAACATGGAGCTCGTATGGCAGCTGCTCAAGGACCTGCGGGGGCGGGGTCAGGTTTCGGAGCAGACGCTGCGACAACCCAGCGTGAGTTAGCTGTTAGTCACTTGTGATGTCACAGATCAGACACACTAATCAGAAACACTAACCAGCTGTTGTTCTCAGTCCAGCCAATGGGGGGCGCATCTGCTTCGGGAACAGTTACGAGTTCCAGCTGTGCAGCCGGGAGGAGTGTCCACCGCTGACTGACTTCAGGTCAGTTCATCTGCTGTGCTCTCTGTTGGGTTTTATTTTACTCTACTTGATGGACTCTATTGTCCTCCACTTAGACGGCTCAACTCTGCCTGACCCGACTCCTCCTCCGTTCTATTCCGTTTGCCTTTGACTTGTCTCAACTTTACTTAAGTTTGTTCCACTACATTCAGCTGAATTCTATTCATCCTTTGCTGATATTCTACTCAGCCAGCCTTGATTTTACTGGACTCTATTGTACTCTACACCACTCTATTCATACTGCTTAGTTTCTACTGTTGGGTTCAGACTGAAGGCAGGCCTGTGTGTTAAAACAGCACAGGATGTGTAGGTGGAAGTACAATGTGTTTAAGGCACCAGTTTGTCTAGTTAGATTGAACTGGTCAAACACCAGAGCTCTGCAGAACTGTCTTCTGTTCCAGGGAGGATCAGTGTAAAGTCTGGAATCCATTCTTTGAACATGAAGGAAGGAAACACCACTGGCTGCCGTACCAACACCCTGACCGTAAATACACACAATACACACACAGACACACATCAATACAGACACCGTAAATACCCACAATATACACACTGACACACACACAGACACCCTGACCATAAATACCCACAATATACACACACATTGACACAGACACACATCGACACAAACTAAAACACAATTCTACCTCTGAACTTAAAGATTATAGTTTTCTCTCTGTTGTGTGTTTCTGTGAGTCTGTTATTATTTGTTCGTGTGTTTGTGTGTCTTAGGGTGTTCACATGTTGAACTCATCACTGAGAAATCTGTTTTTGGACCGATCTCAGTGCCTCTCTTCACTGTTAACTCTTTACTGTCTCCACATATTTTCAAGTCTCTTTTCAAAGCTTCACCTTAAATATTCCACCTTAAGATATTCAGACTGTGTTGTGCTGTTGAAACATAAACACTCCTGCACCATATGCTGGATTTGTCTGCAGCTGACGAGCGCTGCCATCTGTACTGCCAGTCGAAGGAGACGGCGGCGGCGGTGTCCATGAACAGAATGGTGCATGATGGGACGCCGTGTTCTTATGGTGATGCCTACAGCGTCTGTGTCCGAGGAGAGTGTGAGGTCTTTATTTAGTTTGTGTTGTACATTTGTCCATTATCAGGCTAGTTTATTGGTTTTATGGGAGCATTATGTGTAAAGTATTGGTAAAAATGTTTTTATAAAAATGAAACAAATACACACTTATGCATTTAATATATTACTTTTGCTACTTCAAGTGTATTTTGGTGATAATACTTTTGTTCTTAAGTAATATTTAGAGTGCAGCACTTTTACTTGTAACAGAGTATTTTCACTGGTACTGCTGCTTTTACTTAGGTAAAGGAGCTGAGTACTGGTATACTGTGTTACTGTAACACACATGAATTAACTTCATAACACTGTAGCAGTGTCAGATTTAACTCAGATGTTGATTTTCATCTGCAGCCTGAGCAGGTTGATGATCTCCTTGGCCTCTTTACTTGTCTCCTTTCACCATGTCCCCTTTCTCTTCATGTCCCCTCCTTGTCTCATCTCCTCCTGCAGCATGTTGGTTGCGATGGGCAGATCGCTTCAGACCAGCAGGAGGATAGATGTGGAGTCTGTGGAGGAGATAACTCCAGCTGCAAGGTCATCAAAGGAAACTTCACCCGCAGCACCAAGAAACAAGGTGTGAACAACCTCTGTTTCTTTGTGGTCCAGTAGAAACGTGTTGAGTCACGTGTTAAAGGCTCTTGTCCTGTCATTCGTGACCAGATACCAGGTTGGGAAGCAGTGGTATGTTAGAGAGTGAAGTGACACAGGTATGAACACAGTGATGATGACGACGGGTATTGCAGTTACTGATGAGTTCCACTGTTGTTGCCGCTGATCCTGTCTCTGTAAAGTCATTACTGATTGATCGATTAATAGATTATTGTTTCTGTGGCCCAGGATACCTAAAGATCCTGGAGATCCCCAAAGGAGCGCGACACCTGCTGATCCAGGAGTTCAAAGGGACTCCTCATGTCCTGGGTAAAAGGATATTTGGTTCAACTTGACAAACGTTCATAGGTCTTCATTTACTACCAAACCTTGTCTTTGTTTTTCCTGCTGCAGCGTTAAAGAACCAGGAGACAGGTCACCTCTTCCTCAACGATGGAGATGAGCTCCCACAATCCCGAGTATTGATTGAGAACAGTGTAGCCTGGGAGTACAGCAACACTGATGAGCAGGAGTCCATCCAGACCACAGGGCCTCTGAAGTATGGGGTCCTGCTCATGGTGAGTTCGTCAACACAGGGAACTCCAGGAAAGTCCAACATGTTCACGCTGTGTCTGATCAGAAGCTGAACCAGAACAACCACCACTGTGCATCAGGTTCGCCCCGATGGCGACTCCAAGGTGACAGTGTCCTATAAGTACATCATCCAGGACCGTCTCCGGTCCTCGCTGGAGTCCAACATGGTGCAGGAGGGTGCCATCTTCTATGAGTGGGCGCTGAAGAAGTGGTCGCACTGCTCCAAGCCCTGTGGAGGAGGTAACTAATCCGCTGCTGGTTAACAGTCTGTTGTTTGGTTATTGGGGTAAAAAGTGCATGGTTGTTATCTGATCTCTGGTTGCCAGGAAAACAGTACACCAGGTTCGGCTGCAGGAGGAAGGCTGATGGTAAAATGGTTCACAGGATGTTCTGCTCCAACATCAGCAAACCGAGAGCCATCAGCCGCAACTGCAACACCAATGCCTGTAGCTCGCCACGGTAACACACTACAAGTCTCCACTGTAACACTAAGTCACCATGGTAACACTATAACTCACAGTGGTAACACACTACAAGTCACCACATTAACAAACTCCTGTTTTGGCTGGAGCTAAAAATGATCTCTGACTCAAATGGTCTCCAGATGAATGACACAACTGAACCACACTGGTCCTGAGTACCAACCAAAGTTTATGCAAATGTTGGCCTACATGTCGCAACAAAACATAATAAAGTTAATTTTATTACTTTGCAGCAGTCGGGCTGACTATGAACCAGTGTTGGTACCCAGGGGCCAGTTGTTCTAAAAGTTTAAACTGGATAGGAATCATCCAGATTTAAGAAATCCCATGTTTTGCTCTGCAGGATCAGGTAATCCAGATTGCGTTTATGCCTGTTTTTCAAACTAGATTGGATCACCCTTATCCAGATATAGACTTCAAGATTACCAAATCTGAATTACCAGTGAGCCCTGCGATGGATTGGCGACCTGTCCAGGGTGTACCCCGCCTTCGCCCGATTGCCGGCCGGGATTGGCTCCGGCCCCACCCGTGACCCCGCTCAGGGATTAAGCGGTAGAAAATGAATGAATGAATGAATGAATGAATTACCAGTGCTCTAAAATGGACTGCACATCACAGTGTAGGCAACTAGCTATGTCAACTAGCCCGCGTGGTGTC